TATGCAAAGAGTTCATAGACATAGCATCAACAACATGATCCATAGAAAGGAAAAATGGTAAATTGAACTTGATCAAAAATTTAAAAATCTTTGAGGAATCTCCATACTGTTTTCCACAGAGGTGGTATTATTAATAATTTACAGTCCCACTAACAGTGTATAAGCATTCCTTTTTCACCACATGCATGCCAATATCTGTGTTTTTTTTTATTTTTTTAATAATGGCCATTGTGATAGGGGTAAGATGGTATCACATTATGGTTTTAATTTGTATTTCCCTGATGATTAATGATGTTGAGCAACTTTTCATATGTCTGTTGGCCATTTGTATATCTTCTTTTGAAAAAACTCTGTTTACGTCTTTTGCCCACTTTTTAATGTGGTTGATTTTTCTTGCTGATTTGTTTGAGTTCTTTGTAGATTCTGAATATTAGCTCTTTGTCTGTTCTATAGTTTGCAAAGTTTCTCCCCTTCTGTAGATTGTCCATTTACTCTGTTGATTATTTCCTTTGCAGTGCAGAAACTTTTTAATTTAATTAAGCACCATTTATTTATTTTTGTTGTTGCTGTGTATGATTTTGGAGTCTTAGTCATAAATTCCTTACCTAGGCTGATGTCTAGGACATCATGTCCTAGGCATGATGTCTAGTTTTTCTTATGGTTTCTTCCAGAATTTTTTTGGTTTCAGGTCTTACATTTACGTTTTTAATACATCTTGAGTTAATTTTTGTATATAGCAAGAGATAGGGATCCTGTTTTATTCTTCTGCATGTGGCTATCCAATTCTCCCAGCACCATTTGTTGAATTGAGTATCCTTTCCCCGGTGTATGGTTTTGCCTGCTTTGTCAAAAATCAGTTCATCATAGCTACATGGTTTTATTTCTGAGTTCTCTATTCTGTTCCAATGGTCTATGTGTCTACCTGTATACCAGTCCCATGCTATTTTGGTTACTATACCCTTTTAGTATAATTTAAAGTAAGGTAATGTGATGCCTCCAGATTTGTTCTTTTGTTTTGGCTATTCAGGCTCTTTTGGTTCCATATGAAGTTTAGCATTATGTTATCTAGAGCTATAAAAAATGATGCTGGTATTTTGATGGGAATTTTATTGACTCTATAAATCACATTGGGAAGTATGGAAATTGTAACAATGTTGATTCTTCCAATCCATGTGCATGGGATATTTTTTTAATTGTTTGTATCACATCTGATTTCTTTCATCAGTGTTTTATAGTTCTCCTGATAGAGATTTTTCACCTCCTTTTGTAAGTATATTCTTAGGTATTTTATTTTCTTTTTAGCTACTATAAATGGTATTGCATTCTTGATTTGATATTCAGCTTTACTGTTATTAGTATATAGAATGTTATTAGGATGTAGAATGATATAGTATATAGAATGTTATTAGTATATAGAATGCTACTGATTTGTATACATTGATTTTGTAACCTGAGATTTTGCTGAATTTATTTATCAATTATAGTCGTCTTTGGCAGAGTCTTTAGGGTTTTCTATATTCAAGATCATATTGTCCTTTGGGTAGAAACCCAGTTTCTTAATACTTTCTACTATGTTTTGTATTTCCCTAAGTGAATTTTTCATTTGTATAAGTTCTACTTAATTTTTTAAAAATAATCTATCTCCTTAGTAAATATTTCATTCATTTCCTGAATTAATATTTAGGTTTTTTTGAGTTGGTTTTCCATTTTCTCTTGGATCTCATTGAGCTTCCTTATCATCCATACTTGAAATTCTTTTTCTGTCACTTCAGTATTTTCATTTTGGTTGGGATCCATTGCTAGAGAGCTGGTGTTCTCCTTTGAGGGGAGAGGGTCATTTCACTCTGACTTTTCATACTTCCATAGTTCTTATGCTTATTCCTTCTCATCTAGAGCAGCTGCCACTTCTTGTTTTTGGATTTTCTTTTGTCTAGATGGGACTGTTTTCCCCCTCACTCTTAAGGGTATGCTGTAGCATATGTTGGGTAAGGACTTTTGGCTTTGCCTGTGGGTACCTTGATGGAGGTGTAGGTTCTGGATGTATACTTTGGTTATAGATATTCTTAGTGTGGTGGTTTTCTCAATTGCTAGTTATTTGTAGGCTGCAGCGGTGGTGCACTATGTGCATGGGCAGATTCCACTTCTCTTGTCAACAAGGGGAGATGGAAGTCTTTGAAATCTTTTCTCTTTCCCTAGCCCTGTGGTCTTCTGAACAGTATTAATTATATTGGGACACTCAGTTTAATCTCTAAGTCATCAGGTGGCATTCATGGGTAAGAGTCAGCCATGCCCTTGTGACTGAATCAATAAATGCTGTAATGAGCTGTATATGTTGTCCTCCCTTCTCATAGGTGGTGCTTTCAGGAAACCCAGTTGCAGTGGTATTTGGGGGACCTATGGCTGGCTCTAGTTGATCTGAAGAAGTGCTGAATGCCCCAGGTGGGTGGGGCCCTGGAGCTCCCCTGGGCTCCTTCTTATGCTCTACAACAGCTGAGGTGGGTGGAGGATTGAGGCCTGTCAGAGCTGGGTTGAGTGAGCCTGTGTTCAGGCTCCACAAAGGCAGGCACAGGAGCTGTCTGGGCAGAGGTGGAGGGTCAGCTCCCAGGCCACTGGGGAAAGGCACCAGGGAGCAGCCAAAGCAACCCCACCAAGCCAAAAAGTCTGCTTGTGGGGGAGGGGCCATCTGGGATTAACAAACTGGCTGCCAGGAGTAGGCTTCGCTCTTCTCCCTCTTCCCCTGTCCCACGAATCTCCTTCTAGTGTCTGGTTGCAAGCAGCTGTCCAAACTAGCTGAGCTCACCAGGAATGGTGCTGTGGGCTGGGAGTTTCCCTGCTTAGGATCCTGCCCCAGACTAAAAGCACAGCTTTCCTGAGGGGGGAGATATACTCTACAAGTGCACTGCAGCTTGGATCCATACCACACTCTCCTAGTTCTGTCCATGTGGGCTCCCTCTCCTCCCAAGATTAGTCCACAAATCTCCCCTCTAGGCCCCTGAGCAACTCGACCAAGCCCTAAGGATATGGGATCCAGCCTTTAGGCTTGTCATCTGATTCCCCAAGTTCAGTCCTTGTGCCAGGGAGAAGCATACTGGTCCCCAATTACCCACAGAGTGCTCAAGAAGACATAATGTCCCTCCACTTGAGGGTATGCCCTGCTCTGTTGGAGCAGCAAAATGGGCATCACCAGCAGGCAGGGAGCTCACAGTCTGAGCACCCCTTGGTCTACTGCAGGTCTTTAAGAGGAAAGGCATGAGCCCTGCTGTCTGTGGGAGCCCTGGTGTGGTGGGCATGCCAACAGAGGGGAAGCAGCTGCTCCTGAGAGCTCTGGCTAAATCATCTCTTGGGACACCCATGCCAACTCACATGGGAACTGCCTCAGCTGCATTGGTAGCTGTGGGTGGGGGAGGGGAAGAAGAGGAGAAGAGTCTGAATGGAGGAGAGCTGGCAGGCTGGTCTCCTTTCTCCCGAGGGGCTCTCCTGCTTTTCTGTACTCTCCTCTCCCCTGAATGCAGTCTGCTCTGAATGTCCATGCTCTGAGATCACACAGTTCCTCTGAGCCTCACTAGCCCGCTTTGGCCACTGCAGTCTGGGCAGGAGTTGGGAAATGTTTGTGTGGGGACCAGTGACAAGAAAACTGAAGGACTGAAGCTCCCTGTGGAGTACAAAGGCACACAATGGGTGGAAAAGCAGCATGGCGCCCACTGCCATGGCTCGGGTCTGTGGTGAGGGGAACAACCCCAAGGAGGCTGGTAATCCAGTGCTCTGTTCTCAAGAATCTCTTAGTTCACTGGCAGCAGCAGCATTTGGGTTTGTGAGGGTAGAGAAGCTCTCCAACAGTTCAGGAGCCTGAGTCTACCAGAGGTGTAAAGGGAGGAAAAACAAACTCCCACCTACCCTTTCCGTGGGCCTCCAAATTACTCAGGGCTCAATCTCTGCCAAAATCTTGCTCCTTGTTCTGCTGTGCAACTTCTTCCCATGGAATCTCTGTCAGGTTGTGGCACTTTCCTCTCAGAATTACACTTGTGCTATTTTTTTTTTTTCACCTAAAACTTTACCTTTTTTCTGAGACAATCTGGTGACTGATGTCTCTAGTCAGCCATTCTGCCTCCCCTACTAGTTTTTAAATAACACTTTTTGGAATTCTACAAACTTCTAGTAAATGTTTACTTGGATTTGCTAAAGTCATATAAATTGACCAGAAGAGGCAGCCTCCACTCCTGCTTCCTACCCTTCCTAGCTTAGAGGACTCCTCCTCATCTATTATGTGGGACTATATTGCTTGAACCTCTCCTATAGACTTGTATTGTGGATATTTATTTATAAATCATATCACCCTTACTTAGCTGCAAATTTTGCAAAGGTAAGATCGTCTTCCTTCTCTGAAAACCCAGCCTAGACCAGTATCTGACACAATAGACTTTGAATTATCTGGTTTATAGCTGAGGATAAATGAATGAATGTGAAGCTGCAGATGCAGATAGCCCCTGGAGAGGCTGCCAGGGGAGGAGCATACAGTACCCCTCCACATACACACATGCATTTCTACTGACTGTGGGCTCCTGTTAGAATCAATAGGTAACTATTTATTTATTGAAGACCTACTATGTGCGAGGCACAAAAGGAGCTCCAGGACTGAGAGCTGTTTACTATCACCTCTCTAAGCTTCTTGCCACCAAAACAATAGCTTCCAGGGCACTTCTTTCTATTTGTTTTTATGGAAGGGCTGGGAATTAGATGGAAGAAAGTGAAACCAATGGAAATACTCGGGAATGTCACGTCTACATTTGGGTTTTTGCACTGCCAAATCACATTTTCTGAATGAGTTATTTCTATGTACCTTCACAGCAGCCAGCACTGCAGTGCCTTGCATATATTATATGCTCAATGAGTACTTGTCAATTGATTTTGTACATGCATGTGACAGCATAAATATATTATGAAAAATGAGAAGACTGGGTAGCAAAAGACTCCGGATTTCTTCTCAGAAAAATACACAGTGGGGGAGATTGGCATAAAGTTCAAATGTTCCTGCACTCTGCCCTGCGGTATCTCTAACCAAGGGACTCTGATAAGGGAGCTACAGGGTGATATTACCTTTGCTCCCTCACTGCAATCGAAAGCATTCTTAGCTGTTAGGTGGCCCCCACTGTCTAACTTGCTGTGGAGTTTTCAAGAGCATAGAATCATCCTTTTGGCTATCAAAAGAAGATGCTGTTTAATTTGAGGATCCTACTGAACAATGCAGCTCTTAGAAATGGTCACAATTTCGTGGTTCGACATTTTCGGTAAGTGATGGCCAGAGATTTGAGTCTGAATCAGGAACCATGGTGATAAATGAAATTATATTCTGCAGAGGAGTGCAACTACAAAAGGTTTCTTTCTGCAGAGTGTAGTGCTACACTCTCCTCTACTCTTATTTGAGGCAACTGTCTCTAATTCCAGCCGAACTTTCATTTCTTAGTCCTTCTGTAATCAGATTTCATCATGCACTGTGGGGGAAGCTGACCGTGGCAGGTATAACAGACTAAACGTTCTTGACATCTTCTGTTTGTGTACATTCTAAGCAAGCAACTGGCTGAAGGAAATTAAGGGAACTAATTTACACTGGGCCTTCAGCTTGTATTTGGGTTTGCTGGAAAACAATATATCACTGTAAGGTGTTGAGACTAATTAGTTCCTTAAAAAAAAAGGCTCCAAAAAGCAACTAAATAAATACTGACAAAGCTTCTGCAAAGGAGACTTATAGGTGATGGGTATAGCAGTATTTTTATTTTTTTATAAAATCCAGATTTGCAGTCCATCCCTGGAATTCTTGATGGCATGTGCAAAGGAGGCTGTCTCCAATGAATTCATTATAAAAGCTTACATCATGTTTATAGCTATTGAACATGTGGTTGAAGATGGCATGGAGTGTGTCAGTGGGGAAGGGGAATGGAACAGGGGAGATGAGTTAGCTGGGTAAGCCAGACTATCAGGTGGAGACATTATTGCCAGAATGTTTCTGGAATAGTTGCATGTAAATAATCAGGTAGAATTTCCCCAAAGCCTATTTGCAACTTAAAGCCACCTCCCTGACTTCCTAAAGGAAGAAGTTTCTGGTCTGAAGTTTTCTCCTGCTATTAGAAAGTGGACCTGTGACAGTGTCTGTGAGTCTCCTTTCTCTGGACCACCTGACAGCTTTAGCACCACTTCTTTGGTAAATTAAAGGCTCTTGGAAGCCAGAATGACACTGTAAATGACATTGTTGTAAATTAAGCCCATATTAGACCTCGGTGAGCCCTCATGGAATAATGCCTTCTCTTGTTTTATAGATAAGGCAAATGGTGCCCAGAGAGATTATGGGGTTTACCAATGAATGCCAGAGTTAGACCATAGAGTATGGAGAAAAGCTCAGATTTTGGAGTCTAAGGTACTAAGTTCAAGGCCTGGCATCCCCACTTGCTGGCTGTATGACCTTGAGCAAGTCACTAAAGTTTTCAGCAATGTCATTTCACCTACAAAATGGGAAAAGGGATAATTCTTTTCCTGCCTACATTACAGGGTGGTTCAATCATTTATTCAACAAATATGTATTGAACACCTACTTTGTGCCAGACCCTGTGCAAGGTGTTGGAGATACCGTGACAAATAAAGTAATAAGATATTTTATTACAGCCACATGAACTCACAATATAGCAATAATCAATGAAATAATATTTGTGAAACCTGTAAAGTAGCAGACAAGTGGTCATTATTTATTTTATTATTACATCTGACTGAGTTACATCAGATAAAAGTGTGATGAAATTTTATTTCACAGTTTCCAAGGAAGATTCATCACTTAGTTGAAAATCCTCAACTGAATGAATAACCAAAGCTTGAAACTTAAATTTATGCTCTTCAAAAATTACAGAGATGATTGATTTTTTCTAATCAGCTTAAATTTTACAAGAAAAACCTCTTCCAAATAGTTGGGCTTTTTTGATATTTACTAACATTCTATTGTCTATATCCAGTAGCTAGACTACATTTTTGAAAATCCTGGCTAGCTAGCTAGCTATCTCTCAGAGTGCACAGGGTCTGGTACATAAGTTTGGTTAAATCAGCCTAAATATATACTTGCTTTCTAAAAATATGAAAGCGTCGAATCACCCATGTTAGAAACTCAGTAGCGTGGGTCTCTATTGAAAAACGAGATAATGTCTAAATGGTTTCAACATGGCATTCTTATGTGGCATGGGAACTTTTCTTTCCTGCTATATTAGTTAGTCACACTACCTGTCAGCTAGATTAATTCAGAATTGCTAATCTTCAATAAGACCTACAACCTTTGACAAACAACCCTCAACAACAGGAAATTTCCCTGTCAATGCTGCCTGCACTACATTTCACTTTGATTTTCAGCCTTCCACAGAAATTCAAGTTATTTTTCCCCCATATCTCTTGGCAAAAATGGAGGGTCCCTGTTACGTAATATACCACGTGAGTTTACCACTCCAGAGTAATAGGAAATATGTTGTTAGGGTTTGGCAGTGCCACAAGACAAAAATCACACTGTTTTGAAGTGAACATCCATATTGCCTATGGACAAGATAAAATAACAGCTTGAGTGAGGCTGAAGCTGTCCATACAAGCTCCTGAATCAATCATTTTTAGTCAGTTATTATTTTTTTTTTTTACAAAATCATTAGATCAAACACCAAGACTGCTGAAAACACCCAATTCACAGGCTTTCCATCTCATGAACAAGGCTCTAGAGCCTGGTTATGTTTGGATAATAGAGAGTGTCCTGTGATTTATTGCCTATTAGGGGAACCACTTAGAGCTTTTTAAGAAGCCACTAAAAAAAATCTCTTTCTTTATCAGAGAAGACCAATTTGTAAGTGCAGTTCAATTTCATCTCACAAATAGAAATTTCTTCAAAGAATATTGAGCTAAGCCACCTAATTCTCTGGAGGTTATGGATTGGAGCCAGAGGTGACCGGTTTTCAGGCATTTCATTCCAGACCTTTATAAGGGCTCACATAACTCATTATGTTCCCTCATTCCTCACATATGCCCATCCATACACACGTGGACACTCAGACAAAGCGAATATGGGCCATCCCTGTTCTTGCACAAAGGGGAGAGAAAACAGTGCTCTTTGACTATACACATTTATGTCAAAAGGAATGCCTTTTAAAAAACCATAACTTGACTTCAGAAAACGATACAAGACATGGGACCAGGAATGGAATGAGGTCATGATGTTTCCCTTGGCCAATAGTAGAATTTTTCCCCAAATTTGCTATTTTTAGTAATTTAGTAATGTAACTTGGATTTAAAAAGCCACAGGATTTTTGACAGTTTCAGGTTTCCAACTCTTTAATAGTAGTAGGTCTGCAAAAACCTAGCCTTTATCTGAATTCTTCAATTTTGAGATAAAGAAAAGTTTCACAATTTTTGAATATTGACAATCCAGAGTATCTTAGCAACCACTTAGTCTAGTCAGTTATCAATAATAATTTATATCAAATATGGGAATGTGGCAACAGTGAGGAAGGTTTCAAGTAAATTTTTATTAATAAATTATTATTACTGTTAATAAGACAGTAAATAAATTTGGAAATGCTTTGTGGTTTTTTTCACATCAATGGGATCAATTGAAGGATTTTTGTGAAAATAAAGTTACTGTGCCTTTCATGCATTCTAATATGCCTTTTTGCGAAGGAAAGAAAAGATGGAGTTAAAGTTACACCACTGAGAATTTAAATGGTTCCATATGGCTTATGAGAAATCTTGTGTTTATAAACTTCATGAGTGTTGGGGAAGACAAAGACATGGTGTATCAGTGATTTATTTCACTTTCTTAATTTTTCAGATGAGGAATTGAGGCCAGAGATGGCAAATGACATTCCTAAGGTCATAGTTTATTCCTTCAGTCCACAACTCTGGGGCTGCAGCCCGGTCCGGGTCCATGGCCTGTTAGGAACCAGGCCAGGCATCATCACCTGAGTTCCGCCTCCCCCCTCCATCATCCTTGAAAAAATTGTCTTCCATGAAACCAGTCCCTGGTACCAAAAAGGTGGGGACCACTGGTTTATTTCTAAATCCGGGCTAAACTAGTACCATAATTCAAATGTTTAAAGCCACTGCTCTTTTCATTTTACTACTTTTATTACTTTGATCCCTCCAAATTGATCAAGTTAACCAATCTATCTTTGCTGAATATCCTTATTTACGTGTAGCCAAAATATCTCAGTAAAGGAAACACACACACACACACACAAAGAAAATATGCCTTAACTCTTGCATTACTGCAAGATTAAAGAAACATGAAAATCTCAACCATAATGCCTACTGGCTCTCTCTTATGCCTCCAGAAGCTAAAGTCTTTATCTCAAATTCTCTCTGGGGATCAGAATATCATTGAACACTGAATTTTTTCCTACTCTGGCAAAGTCAGTTTCTGACCGACCATATTTTACTCAAATCAAGCACTTTCTCTTCCAACAAAATAAAAAAAAATTATACCAGGGAACACATCCAAGTCTCCCCCACCCCACAAACAATTTAACAGAGCTGGAACAGGCAGACTGTAGCAATGAAAGGCTTCATTCTGCCAGTAGTGAATACTCTTCCATTTTCCAGCAAGGAAGATATTTGAGTAAAACTAATACAGGGTCTATTATTGCCTTGGCTTACTTAGTTTGTTATCATTCAGTGATTTGGGGTTAAGAAATCTCTGTAATTATTTTTTCAAGGAATAAAATGAATATAAGGAAAGGCTCTGGCTGTAACCAGACTGCAAGGACAGTTTTGATAGAGAATTTGTACATGGTTCCCATTATTTTCCCCAACATTGTATACTCCCTATTATGTGTGGGCTAAAGAATAATGTGGTTTAGGTCTGGTTTACTTAGGAGATTTCTTGCTTACTTCCAGTTTACTTCTTGTACACTCAAGTATAAGAAGACCAAGCATTTTACAGGATGAGTAAAATAGTGATTTGGACCTGGTGCTGGTGCTTGTAAACCAGAGTAGGCTGCCTCCAATTGAGGCATGGGGTCTCTAGGGGAACTTAATAACCATTTATGCCAGTGGCTTTACCTGGTTAATTCAGGTGTGGGTTTATCATCAAAAAGCAAGAAAATTCTTGCTGCAGACCAGAAAAAAAAAAAAAAAGACGCCTGTGTCAGAGGCGTTTCAATGTAGTACAATTGTGGAGCTCTTCTACTTTTCTCTACTTTTTAATGTAGCTTAGGAAAGAGGAGTGGCAGCTGCATTTTGGAGCCAAGAGTAGGTCTATCAGGAGATAGTAAACAGG